GAAAGGGTTAACCTGTATGTCACAGCCTTGCCTCTTGTTGTTTGCCTTTTTGCAGATGTTGAATTGGTTTTTCCATTCAAAAAACTACTTCTATGCTCTTTTGTTTCTTTGGAAAAAGTTCCTATGGTTTGTCTGATATAAAATTTTGGACAAGAACCATATACTCCTTTTCTATTCGGCACTGGAATTTAATCTTTATTTTTTTCAATGAATTTATTCAAATTATTATTTGTTCTGTAGGCTACGTTCAATTTTTTGTTCCTCAATTTTTTTAAACTAGCGATATTATTAGTATGATCACCATAGTGGAATTATCTCATATTTTTTGCTATTTCTCTAGAGTTTCACAGTGGATTATTTTCAGTACCTTCATCACAACTTGCCTTCAAGTTTTAACCAGATTCATAATAAACATAATATAAAAAAATAATAATTACCAAATATAGTTCAGCACATGACCGAGAAGTACAAATGGTAACAGGATGTTTCAACTCTGTGATATTCATAGAAATGATGGGGATATACATTTTACTAGCCAATTGTTCCAGGGATTGGTTATCTAATCGTATACAGGCTTCATGTCTTCCTAATGAATTTATATTGTCAGATATCAATTGATAAATGTCTACCAATGGGTGTGTCAATTGGTTAATCATCCTTCTAGCTTCATTTATAGCACTGGAACTTTTAATGTGGTGAGGCTGATTTTTTGAATCTCCAACAATATAACTGATCAATCTAAAAAAGAACTAAAAGATTTAGTATTCTTTGAAAGACATTTTTTTGTGCAGGAATCGATGTTTTCTGAATTTTTTAACTTTCCACAATTTGAGAAATTAAAAAACTCAAATCAACAGAGATTCTGTTGAAGTATGCTGAAAAGATAAATTCACTCCAAAAAGTAATTACATAATATGAACCACTGAAGAGTACCACTAGTCAGTGATGTTTGCTAATTTTGACTAGGAATTGAATATGTTTGTTTCAACAGTTCTGTCCGTTTTATAAGCCTATTTTAAACTGTAATATCTCAGTAAATAATTTTTTTAATAAAATCGAAATAAACACCATTTGAATCAGTGCTCTTTTGACAAATTCCTTACAATGGAAATTTGATGTGATGTAGCCTGGTTGTAGAAAATTATAATGAATCACATCAGCCGCAGACCACAGTAACCATGGTCTTTTTGGTGAGTTTTCACCTTTAGGAAGTGCATTGGAGGCTCATCGGTGACTGACCTCGATCCCGCGGCAGCGTTTTGGTTCCATATGAATTTGTAGAGAAAAATTTGCAGAAAATCACTCAACAATATCATATAATTATAAGCTGGAAAGAGACATAAAATAAAAATTTGGAAAATAATCAACAGCATAAACTTTTGAAATAACCTAATAATTAATAGAAAACTGCATTTTCATCACTGCTGAATCAANAAAACCTAATAATTAATAGAAAACTGCATTTTCATCACTGCTGAATCAACATTAATACATATAATTTTGAATACGCATTAGTTCAATTTTCAGAATTGCCTGTTACAGATCTCACTTTCAATTGGTATTCAACATAAATTGGTACTTTATGTACTTACTTCCAACATTGTTCCGAAGAGTTTTTCCAATTTTCTCTGTTTCTTTCTTCAATTACTTCATCAAATTGAATATTATTTTTGATACCAGCCAAAAATCTAAAAGGTTCATTATCAAAACAGAAAATATTTCTGTTCATAGGAATAACAGGTTGCGGTTGACTGCTGTTGAATTCATCTATTTCATTTTTCAAAAGGTTGATCATGTCTCCAGGTCCATATTCAGTCCCTCTGGTGTTGGTGAAGACAAAAATGATGTTTTTACCTGCAGATTTGTCCAACTGGGATAAAATACAAACCATACTCTGTCTGAATATCTTTGCACTGTTTGCTTGGTTTGGTTTCAAAACGAAAAAAATGGCATGCAGAACATTCAGTTGGCCAATATACCTGAGAATACTTTCAGTGTTAACGTTGTCTTGATCAATTCCATTAATACTCCCCATTCCAGGAGTATCTATTAACCGAAGTTTGCATTTTCCATTCCAAATTGGGAAAACATAAGTCTTAATAAACTGTTTTGACGATAAACTTTCATTATTGGCCTTTTCACCTACCTTGACAACATGAAATTCGCCATTTTTATCTGTTGCAATAAATTCTGATGGAATGAGCACCAACAATTCTTCTTTTTTAGCAATATTGAAATCTTTATATGTTATGTAGTTGGCTAAAGCATTTATTAAAGTTGATTTTCCCACTCCAGTTTCCCCAATGAGAAGGATATTTATATCAGTTTTTGTACTAACTTTAAGATCCTCCATACCACTTTCAATAGCTGGCTCTACAGACATTTTTAGTAAATAGTAAATCCAGTTGACAGGATTCCTGAAAAATCTTCCCTGGGATTCCCTCACTACTGGTTTCTTGAATGGTTTTTCACACCCAACAATGCTGACTAATATTGTTTTTTGTTTCTTTCCAATCAATGAAGAATATGATAGTCGATCGTCAACATTCAAATAAATGTAGTCTGAATTTTAAATTATACCTTTTCCATACCCGCACACTAATGCAGAACTTTTTGGTTAGGATTGAACTTTGAAGTAATTCTTATGTCAATTTGATAGTTACATATATTTTCAGTACAGATGGAATTCTCAATGTTGAAACTGTAATATTTTCAGAATACAATTTACAAACCAAACCTTGAAATCTAACCAGATAAGAGTTTAGAGTTAAAGCGTGTTCCATTAGTAAAACCAGAGCCAATCGAGTGCAAATGTTCTATTTGTAGTGACAAGCATATGCAAATCTGCGGTTTGGACGCATTTTAGCATGTTATATCCACTACCAATAGTCATCTTGATTTATTTCAGGCTGGAGCCTTGCTCCCCTACCCTTTAAACTGGTTTTCATCAGAGGGACAAATGGGTCATAACTGATCATTGATGGCGGCATGAGAGTCCTCAGACATCAGTACCGCCCTTCGCGGTGTACCCCTACCTGGCTGGGGTGAGATGGATGAAGATATTATCATCTGTTAACGGAGGACATAGGGGCCTCATTCGACAGAGTGTCGGGGCCTTCTATATCGGGAGGGGTCGTCTACAGCGTAATTTATAGCTTCCTTGACTAACGGATTATCGTGAGTTTCCGCGTGATCTAAAACTCGCCGATTCCTCGACTGGATGGGACTGCTGAATGGAAGGCAGCTTCAAATCTCTGCGGATGGCTTCATTCCGCACGAACCACGGAGCATTCACAATCATCCGTAAAATTTTATTTTGTAAAGTCTCCAAGATGGAGATGTTAGTCGGAGCCGCTTGTCCCCAAACGCCTGAAGCATACATGATGACAGACTTGAACATCATGTTATAGATCGTGATTTTGTTCTTTAGGCTCAGCTTAGATCTTCTATTGATCAAAGGGTACAGGCTTGCCACCCGACCCTGGATCTTTGCCTTCACGCTTAACAGGTGCGGGTTCCAGGTGAGCCTACGGTCTATAATAAGACCAGGTACTTTACCCGCGCTTGCCAATCAATCTCCCTTCCAGATATTCTCACTTTCATAGCCGGAGAAGATATCGTTCTTCCCATGGTTATCGCATTAGTCTTTTCCGGGTTCACTTGGATCTTCCACTCGAGGTACCAGCGCTCGAGGTCGTCCAATGCACGTTGCATATAGACGCTCCCGACCCATGGAAGATGAGAGGAGAGCCGTGTCGTCGGCATATTATAGGGATACCTTCACATGCTCGGACCTCGGAAGGTCGCTGGTGTAAAGAGAATATAGCGTGGGAGAGAGCACGGCCCCATGTGGCACTCCAGCGAGGATCTCTCTGTTGTCAGACAGAGAGCCCTCTACTCTAACCTGAAATGTTCTGTCTTTCATGAAACAAACCACCGGATCAGGCCCCGAGGCATGTCGAACGCAATTAGTTTGTGCAGAAGGCCTTCGTGCCAAACACGGTCGAAGGAATGCGAAATGTCTAATAAGACTACCAGTCTAATAAGACTGAGACCAGTCTCAGAGCCTGTAATTCAGTGGAATGCTCTCTCCTGAAGCCGAATTGTTCGTCAGGCAGAACATTTCGGTCCTCAATTTTTTCGTTGAGCCTTTGAAGAACGACTCTTTCAGCCAGCTTAGCCGCCGACGAGAGCAGACTAATCGGGCGATAGTTCTGCGGGAAAAGTCGGTTCTGCCCCTGTTTTGGGAGCATGACAACGGTCGCATGCTTTCACCTTCTGGGGAAGTATCTGAGAGCCAACGAACTGTTTATAATAAACAGGAGATTCTCGACGCAGTTTTCCGGGAGCCTCTTCAATGACTTATTTGTTATTGAGTCGACCTCCGGAGCTTTCTTGGCCTTTGCAGCCCTAATGTATCCCTTCAATTCTTCCACAGAAGCCGGACGGATGTTATCATCGTCATCCTCCCTGAGGATGCGGTGAACCCGATCTTACAGCGGAATATCGCGGTCGATGTCATCATTGTCGTCAATGTTAAGCTGAAACTGACGTTCCATCGTGTCGGCAAAGGCCAACGCTTTGTCGGCGGGGGAGTAGCACACTCCGCGCTCTCCGTGAATGGGTGAGGGAGCCAAAGCTCGTCACCCCTAGGCTCAAAGGATTCCAACAGCTCCTCCCACCTTTCATTTCGGTGATCAATGATGGCCTGTTTGACTTGATTGGTCATCCTGTTTGCCGCTGTTTTGTCTCCTGGGAAGAGGGTCCGCTGATAGAGCCTTCTCAGGCGATTTCTCTCTCGTATCACGACTTCTCCATCTTTCTTTGAGAGCTTTCCACATTCTTTTTCTGTATGAAGATGAAGAAGTAGAAAGTCAAAACCTTTCTTTCCCATAGGATAATATCTTTTCAGGTCGAGAATTTCAGTGGTTCTTTCTGAAATATTTGCCAAAAACTAGGCCTGTCGAATTTCGTTTTGTATCTCTACCTCCTCCATTTCGAATGATATAAAAAAACGCAAAGGAACTTTCAATTTTTTTTGGTTATAACCTAATATGAACCAATTTGCGACGCTTCGTTTCTATTTTTCCGTTAAACAGCTGTTGCACCCCTACGAACGGCAACCCTCAGAAGTCGAAACTTGTGCGAGCTAAGGATTAACGAGGTCTTACCTTTTAACGTGTGATTCCTAACACGGGTTGGACAATAGCAAGTGAAAATCGATCGTTCAGCCTGGGCCTTGAACCACCGACCAACACGGCAGTCAATTCGAGTGAGTGAACAAAGCAACCACGTCGAACCGACCACCGTTCATATGCGAACATGTATTTAAATACTCAACTGAAATTGTTATTACAGTGGCTACAAATATCGATGAAAAAAAAGTCGCATTGCAAATGCGACTCATTGCTTCAAATTTTTTATTTGATAGCAGTACCTACTTTTTCTCGAACTTCAACTCTAGTCTTGCATCCTTCAGCAACTTACGAATTCATTAATTCGAGTAAAGGGTTCTCTCTGAGCCTCTAGCATTTCTTTTACTATCTCCATAATCGGCAAAAACTTCGTCTTGTCACAGTTGCCAAAACACCTACCTAGTGATTGAAAACATCTAATATGGAAAGTAAGACTAGGATTAGCTTAAACGTTCTGGTTTTTATCACAATCTTGATGTTACAAAATATTCAATTTGACAACATGAATGATCCAATATTATTTTAATAAAAATATGTACGCCGATTCACAACAATTATGAATCCAGATTGATCAGATCAATGTATTTATAGCTTAACTGTATTATTGATTATATGTTATCTTGAAGTAATGCGCCGCTTGCGAGAAGAGCTGAATGGAAGGCAGCTGTAAATCTCTGCGGATGGCTTCATTCCGCACGAACCACGGAGCATTTACAATCATCCGTAGTATTTTATTTTGTAAGGTTTCCAAAATGGAGATGTTGGACGTAGCCGCTTGTCCCCAGACGCCTGAAGCATACATGATGAAAAGCTTGAACATCGTGTTGTAGATCGTAACTTTTTTAGGCTTAACTTGGATGGTCTGTTTATCAGAGAGTAGAGGCTTGCCACCCGACCTTCGATCTTTGCCTTCACGCTTATAAAGTGCGGGTTCCAGGTGAACCTACGATCTATTAGAAGACCGAGGTACTTTACCCGCGCTTGCCAATCAATCTCCCTTCCAGATATTCTCACTTTCATAGCCGGAGAAGATATCGTTCTTCCCATGGTTATCGCATTAGTCTTTTCCGGGTTCACTTGGATCTTCCACTCGAGGTACCAGCGCTCGAGGTCGTCCAATGCACGTTGCATATAGACGCTCCCGACCCATGGAAGATAAGAGGAGAGTTGTGTCGTCGGCATATAGGGATAACTTCACATGCTCGGACCTCGGAAGGTCGCTGGTGTAAAAAAAAATACAGCGTAGGAGAGAGCACGACCCCATGTGGCATTCCAGCGAGGATCTCTCTGTTGTCAGACAGAGAGCCCTCTACTCTAACCTGAAATGTTCTGTCTTTCATGAAACAAACCACCGGATCAGAATTTCAGTGGTTCTTTCTGAAATATTCGCCGAAAACTTGGCTTGTCGAATTTCGTTTTGTATCTCTACCTCCTCCATTTCGAATTATATAAAAAAAATTTAAGGAACTTTCAATTTTTTTTGGTTATAACCTAATATAAAAAAAATTTTCCGTTAAACAGCTGTTGCACCCCTACGAATGGCAATCCTCAGAAGTAGAAACTTGTGCGAGCTAAGGATTAACGAGGTCTTACCTTTTAACGTGTGATTCCTAACACGGGTTGGACGATAGCAACTGAAAATCGTTCGTTCAGCCTGGGCCTTGAACCACCGACCAACACGGCAGTCAATTCGAGTGAGTGAACAAAGCAACCACGTCGAACCGACCACTGTTCATATGCGAACATGTATTTAAATACTCAACTGAAATTGTTATTACAGTGGCTACAAAAATCGATGAAAAAAAAGTCGCATTGCAAATGCGACTCATTGCTTCAAATTTTTTATTTGATAGCAGTACCTACTTTTTCTCGAACTTCAACTCTAGTCTTGCATCCTTCAGCAACTTACGAAATCATTAATTCGAGTAAAGGGTTCTCTCTGAGCCTCTAGCATTTCTTTTACTATCTCCATAATCGGCAAAAACTTTCGTCTTGTCACAGTTGCCAAAATGATCGTTTTCGAAAAACACCTACCCAGTGATTGAAAACTTCTAATATGGAAAGTAAAACTAGGTCCAGCTAAAACGTTCTGGTTTTTATCACAATCTTGATGTTACAAAATATTCAATTTGACAACATGAATGATCCAATATTATTTTAATAAAAATATGTACGCCGATTCACAACAATTATGAATCCAGATTGATCAGATCAATGTATTTATAGCTTAACTGTATTATTGATTATATGTTATCTTGAAGTAATGCGCCGCTTGCGAGAAGCAATACGAAGAAAACGACTGTAATTGTGGAAAAACAATTTATGGCTTTTGCATCACGATAATGCACCTTCTTACTCGTCATTGCTTGTTCGTAATTTTTTTGACAAAAATAACATCGTTATCATGCTTCAGCCATCGTATTCACCAGATTTGCCCTCTTGAGATAAAACTAAATTCAGAGTTCAAGGACATACAAAAAAGTGCATATCAGAACATCTTCGCGATCAAGTGTATTATATCTGAAGGGGACTACTTTGTAGTAAAAAACTTGTTCAATAAATCTTGTGGACAAGTGAATATCTTAAGGATTAGTGTTGGCTTCTTTAGCATTCTGCAGTGCTTGAGTAACATATAACTTAGCTAGAGACTGCGAACAAAACTGGGAAATGGCCTGGCTATATGTATTAACTTGTCCTGCAATGATCATGGGGTTCAGCCTAGGAGGAACAGGATGAGGTCTGAAGAGTTTGCTCATATCCTCTTCAGGGAGAGGGGGCTCATCTTTAGCAGCCCTCGCAGCATTCTCTTGAGCTCGCTTTTGCAAGTATCTGTGCTTGTCTTGTTGTTGTCTACTCACTAGTTGTTGATATCTGTTGAACTTGATTGCTTCTTGATTGAGCTCGTCAACACGATCCATCAGACATCGAAGTTGGCCTTCTAATACTGATGCTGTTCCTAAATCCAAAAACTTCGACCCCTCTTCTTCAGGTACCATTTCTGCTAATTCGGACATCATGATGTTACAAAGAGGTGAATTTTTGATCAAGAATGGAACCTCAGTAAAAAGATTTTCATATCCAACCTTCAACTTGAGTAAAGCTTCAGGTGTGAATTCTCCTTCTTTGTACATCTCTATGGCTTGAGGAGTCAAACGGTAAGCTTTGAATGTCAAAAAACCTCGGGCCGATTTCTGGGTGTCGTAAATTACAACAACAGACTCTTCAATTGAAGTTTGGTAATGAAATTGTGATTCGAGTAGAGGAAGACTTAAAAAATTGCCCACATCTGCACTCTGGTACCATCCTACATGAAAATGATCTACATTTACTCTTCTCAGCCTTCGCATCATGGCTAGTTGGTATTCATCTTCATCCATGGTTTCATCTGATTGTTTTGGAAATGGAAAGCAGTTGGTGATTTCAAGACGTCCATCAACAACTAACCCTAGAAGAGCACCTTGAGCAATATCCATGTTTGTTGTTGATTCCTCGTGACAATGTTTGACAATCTTCATCACAGCCTGAAATGAAAATGATAATGACCTTTGTTAATCCAAAAAAATCAACTGCTGTAAAATGTGTTGAGTATCTTCAGCCAAAACAGGTTTTTAAATCTGTAGCAATATTTTGTCATACAACAATAGTTGATTTTAAATTACTGATGGTTTAATAGAAACTCTTATGATATAATGTAACTATGACACAAGTGTATGTGAAGTGTAACTGGAATATGGAAAAAAATTATATTACTTGATGATGATATTCATTTATAAAATGGATAAAGGATACAATACCTGACAGATAGATATTCAACATTTTAGGTAAAATATGATCCCTACCAAATTAAACAGAGTTTCATAATGGTTTCATTGAATTCCATAGTTAATCCAATAAAGTTGAGAATACAACAAAAACAATTCATAAATAATATCAGGCAATGAAAATGTCATTTATATTATTGAATGCATTTTTCCCAATCACCAGAAATGCAATACTTTTCTCATTTTCAGGAAATCAAGAAAACTTGGACAATAACTTAGTTGATGAAATGTGCATCGATAAGAGTATTGCACTTCTGATGATTGGAAAAAGTTCTCGTTTTGGATTATTCTATGCCAGAGGCTCCAGTTTTATCTTTCAACCGGTTATTCAACATTCAGTGTTGTGAATACAGATGTAATCGAACTGAATGCTTACTAAGTTGTGTTCTGGGTTCGGATATTCGGTGCTGCAGCTAACATACTATTAACTATCTATTTTATTATTTTTATCAATGGCAACTTATCATAATGAGTAATATAACATAAATAGACAACTTAGATTTCCAAAATTCAATGAAAATAATAAAATAATTATACACACCAATCCATCAGCTTGAACATATGTGATTGCTGATTCATTTTCTGGAACACGTCTTGAATTTCCTGCTCGACTTGCCATTTTTATAATTCAAAACGCCGTTCTGTATATGCACTTGCACTAAATGTCCACTATTTGGGAATATAATTTATTAGAAAATTAAACTTCTTTCCTTCTCCAACAAAATCGAACCTAAAAAGGTTATCTGGCATTTCTTTCTAGTGCCTAGTGCCTACTCTTTCTCTTTATGGCCTCAGCTATTAGAGTTGAGTAACAATGACTTAGAAGTAAATGTCACTCAGCTAATAACAACACAACTCATTAATTTTAAGGCGATACGAAGTTCAACGGGTCAGCTAGTAACATAAATAAATATCAATAAGACAATATTCATTTTATTAGCGGGAGAATTTGCCATAGTCACTTATAAATGGTTGTACACGTTTTAGACATTTCATGATTCACAACATTGATATTTGACTCATAATAATGAAAGAAAAACAAAATTACTCTGACGGAAATATCTATCTTTACGTGACCTTGAGTAAAAGAGGAAAGTTCTCAATTATTCCATTCGTCTCATTAGGTGTTTCAACATAAATGTTCAGTTAAAAAAGTGAAAAGTACCAAAAAGTAGAAAATATACAGGATTACTATATAAGCGAGTAGTGTGACCACATTTTATTCAAAAAATCTAACTAGTGTGTCATTGAAAATAAATGAAATTTACTACAATATATTTGAAGAGTAACATCTTACCAACATAGTGAAAATTTGAGTTTTCGACCACTAGATAGCGCTTGTTATGACATTTGAATAGAATCAGTGAATCTAGAAGACCTTGCTTGCCCTTCTTATGGTTTTGATTGTAAACTTTCAAAAACAGACATGTTTCCATGTTTGAAATGAAACTTTGGAAGTTTGAAAACGTAAAGTGAAATGAGGTTATGTATTATTACCTTCTTCTTTTTCCTTCATTCGAAGGTCGGAGATATTCAGAAAACAGTAAGAAGCAATCGGGAACTTGATTTTTTATTGTCTGTATCCATTTTGCGTTCTGTGTATTGCAATTCGAAGCGGGCAGAACCTAGAAAAAATGAATTTAAGTCATTTGCTGTAGATGTCACCACTCACATTTTGAAATGAAAATTCTATCACCAAGGCGTCTTATCCAAATTCATCGAAATCTACCGGCGAAAATTCATCTATTGCATGCTGCACGAGATGGAACGACCATACTAAGCAATATGAGCCTCATGCGTATCGTCCTCGTATCTCGCATCTCTTTTATTTATTTCATCTTTGTATGGTTCACAAAGTTATTATGGAATTAAAACAGAAGAAATCTCTAGGTCCTGATGCAATTCGCTCAGAAAAGCTCAAATTGATTGTCAATGAAATTAAAACGCCATTAACTCACCTAATCAACAAATGTTTACAGAAAGGCTGCTTTCTCAAAATATTCAAAATTGGAATAATAAAACCACTTTTTAAAAGTGGAGACAAAACAATAATGAGTAACTATAGACCTGTATCACTGATCTCATACATAGCCAAAGTAATAGAGAAAATTCTAAAAATAAGATTAGTGAATTTAACTAGGAAATTCAAGCTGATATCTGATCAGCAATACGGATGCCGGGAGGGAAGATCAACGGAAGATGCAATACAAAATCTAACTACTCGTATTTACGAAGCTCTTGACAAAAAAATTCCAGCAATGTGCATCTTCGTTGATTTATCCAAAGCTTTTGATACCGTCAGTCATACAAAACTCCTGAAGTAAAGAAATTCATTCTAAATACCGAAAGAGCTTTTTTTCAGATTTTATTAATCAAACTATTTCAGACAGCAATTTAACTTAAGCATTTGTTGAGCAAACGAAAATAACTATGTATTCTGTCTGAAACTACTGTCTCTGTTAATAAGGTTATTGATAATTCATCATTCATTATCTTCAAATGTTAGATTAGGTATTTATACAGTTAATTACAATGTATCCTTATCACGAACAAGCTATAGATTTCTATGGCTTCTGTGATTATCTTCTTTATATTCGATAGCTATGTAATGTATATCAGTGTATGCGATCTATTTTCCTAAATTTTATGAAGTAAAATTTTCATTTTATTTCATTCATCTTATTTACCTGATGATGAATCATTCAAATGAAATATGTTTCATTCCGTACTGAACCAAACAATAATTGTGAGAAATTGTGACATCATATTTTGACTGCTCTCAATTTATCAAAAAATGATATCTCAATTCAAAAAAGTTTCCGTATTTTTATATTATTGAGTGTAATCCATATGGTCACTTCACTTCACTTAAAAATTCTTGGCTTTTGCTTCCATTAGGCGCATTTAGCCAGCTCGATTCGAGGGGGCGCAGCTGTCTTGCACGCAAATCAACACTTAAATTGTTAAAATCCTGTCTCCACGTGGACATCCGGTCCACCCCGGCCTCCAACCGGCGTGAATGGGGACAGGAGTTATATAAATTCACTGTAACACTCCCACGTGGACATCCGGTCCACCCCGGCCTCCAACCGGCGTGAATGGGAGTGCTGTTTCTCTATAACATTTATAACGTTCACAAAAAGACTTTTAATGTAATGATAGCACGTTCTATGACGGCAGACATTCACAACACAAACTGAGCTTCGTCCCCAACAATGGCGTCCGCGTACCTTCTTTGTGGACGGTCGCTGTCAACACGTCCGTCCACCACCACATCAGGAACGAAACTCTAATCCATATGGTAAAAGGATCCATATTAGCTTGCGGATGATACATCGGATGATACATCGCGATCGCGTTCCATTGTTACCCACAGAAAAGCACCACGACAGAGATTCGGTGATTTAATGAAAACGAGAACTAGCGCCAGCTATCAGACTTTCATACTTAGCGAAACAGTATACTTGTGAGTATACTGTGGTGAAGAATTGGCGCGATACGATACTCTGCGATACTATCTATTGGAAAATACAGTCATGTATCATTCTCAAATACCGAGACAGTACGGTATCATAAAATCGCGGTCCAGAATTCTGTTCTACAAAAACTGACCCATCTCTACTCCTATATGATTCAAATCTTCACTTACGAAATATAAAAGGATTGTTGGGGTAAATTTCACAAAAGTTAATTAGTAAATTAAATGGTAGTCGCTTGGTTCAAAATCTTAAAACACGACCAACACGAAACATAAACTTCGAGGAAATCAACTCTTGTTCTTCTGTGGTTCTGTTATGTCATATGTCATTGTATGAAGTGTTAAAAAATAAAATTGTTGTTGATGATTGGTCTGTATGTATAGAGAAATTTGTTTTTCTACAGGAATTGAATAGGCAATAAAATAAAATGAGACTCACAAAAGTACAGTTAACAATTTCATCTTATATCTTTTTCCTTGTACTATTTGGAGTTATATCCAGTAGTTCTCGAGCCGAAGATGTACCATTATCCAAGCTTAGTCAAAATGTTGGTACTCCAACCATGAAATTCTTATATTGGTAAGTTGGAAATAGTATTTTTCCCAACATCCCAACTCTTAACTTTAAAACATTTTCAGCTACTCATGTGGTTATAAGAAAATGTTCGATCAATATTCTGCTCTTATAAATCAGAAGTACCCCTATATTCTTGTTGATGGAATGAATTATGATCCTCCCGGATTGAATATGTTATTAGCCAGAATGTTGGTGAGTACTATATCAAAGCAAATGTGAAGGCGAATTGTTAACAGTTAATCACTCTCCAAATGAGTTTTGAAACTTTGGATTGAGTGTTTGTTTAGACAAAAGTAAACTATAAAAATTTGCATGTCATTGTGATATGTGGAACAATGTTTGAACGCCAAAATTCAACAATGATGTATAAATCCTCAGCTAGAGTCACGAAAAATGTGCAAATCGTCAGAAATGCATCATTTAGCCTTTCTAACCTCCTATGAAGTTTAATTACATGTTTTTTTCTTTTATGGGAACTACCTATTGAGATGCCACTGAATAAAAAAATATTCTTCAAAATCGTAGTATTTTCTTCAATCATGATAAATGACCTCTATATCCAAGGAACGATTGTCCAAGTTTGCACCTTTCACTCACAAGAAAATCAATGATTTTCACAAATATAACTGTTTATATATAATTTTATGGTGGACAACAGCTCATTCAGACTGCTACCAGATATAATGTAATCTATGCAACTCAAAAGCAACATCAACAGTTGGAAACTTCAAAGTCTCCCTATGATCGATCCAAGTCATTGCATGGTGCCATAATTACACTTCCTTTGGATATAAAAGCTGGTGAAGAATTCTCGTCTCTTGATACGGTTTCAATCATTTTATAGGCGCAAAGGAGAGTTGTATACAGGGTGTCAATTCGAAAACTTTCCACCCTTAATATTTTCCTTCCAGTACATAATATTTTCAAAAAAATGAAAAGACAGGTCAATTTTATTTTCAAGTGGGATACTTTAAATGATTATTTTCAACCCTCATGGTTCAACGCCTTAGGAGGGGTAGGCGTTAGATTTAGAATATCAAAGCAGTTTCAAAAAAATATCGTTCTAAACTTATACAAGTGATTAGAATTTGCCTGCCATGGTTTTCTGGTTAGTATTCAAGTGAATATTATTGTATTGACTCTCCTTATTGATAGAAATGCTTAGAAGAGAAGGTTGCATTGCTTCAACCCTTGACCAACAGGAATAAATCTAGTCCACACGTGCGAGTTTTTATTTGTTGGTCATTTTATGTTTACAAAAAAACTGTCAAATGGCGAGAAACAAATTACAATCATCTATCTACGTAATATATGATGAGTTGTTCGAAATGTCCATTCTGCTCTAAATAGTAATAAAGTCTGTTTCAAACTTTTCTCAAACATTTCAGAAAACTTCACTAAGAATTGAGCAGTATGCTTCTGTAATTAGTCTTTCAAGTTCATCAATATCAGCTGGTTGTGTTTTATAAAGAATGAATTCAAGATGTCTCCAAAGAAAAAAAATTTGAAGGCGTTAAAGCCGGTGATCTTGATGACCACTCAATTGCCTCCCTTCTGCCAATTCATCTATTGGGGAGTCGCTCATTTAAGCACTGTTAGACCGGAGGAAAATAATAAGGTGGAGAACTGTCCTGCTGGAAATGTAACAGATCCTTCGACAATAGTAAATCTTGAGTGGATCGATAATCTCTTCAAGCATATCTAGGTACAAATTGCAAGTCAAGTTTTCTTCAATAAATAAAGGATCGATAATGGCATTTCCAAGAATGTCAGCCAAAACATTAACTTTTTGTGGGTGTTGTGTATGCCCTCGAAAAATGTTAACGTATTCGACACTCTAATAGCGACTACTTTGTTTATTACCATTGCTATTCAGAAAGGATGAGCATTTACCACTGAAACAGATATTTAACAAAATATTAGGGAGTGCAGTGACTTGAATCATGGTTTCACAAAATTCTATTCGTCTATCATTGTCATCCTCATGGAGCTCTTGAGTAATGTGTATCTTACATGAAACAAATGTATGTATTTTCAGTGCTTTTCTTACAGTCTCATGTGACATTTCCATCTGTTCTGCTACTGATCGTAAGGAGCTAGTGGGCAGTTTTTCCCGTTCCACTTGCTGGCAAGCGTTACTGTTGTGTAAACTCAAGTGGAATGGATTATGGAACGTTTTGGGCGTTCATGTAAAAATTACAAACGGCGAGGTTGAAAAAATGAAGTAGAAGTTTTAATGAGGCTACGTAAACCTTAACAATAAGTTTCAATAATTGCAAGCTAACTTTATTCGTATTAAAAAAGAAGTATAAATCATTAAACAAATTCAGTTTGAGTATAATCAGAATGTCTTATAAGGCGATTGGAGATTTGTAGATGCGACGCAATAATGCTCCAGAAACTAGTTCATTTAGTTGAGACTAGCTAACAGTTGAGCTGGTAGAAAAAAATTGAGATTTCACACTTTTTAGAAATTCTGAGTTTGCAGTTATTTAAGACCAAATTGCCAAATTGAACATTTTTTTGATCCTTAGTTGGAATGAATATTTAGGTGGTCACCTCAAGCACAGATGTTATTTATTTTGGGGAAATTCTCGAACACAGTGGGTGTTTTAGGCTCATTTTTGATCTTTGAAATATTCGATTCAAACAGAGAATGAGAATGATGAAAGACCCTGTTATGTTGGCCACATGATTAATTAATAGAATTACCATTAAATTATGACATGAAAATAATTGTCAAATTCCAAAGTGATTGTGTGGCTGCTGAGAAAATTTTTTGCACATTACATTTCATTAATCAATCAATCAATCAAACATTTATTGAATCAGTTTTCCTTCACAATCACGTTAGACAAAAAACATAACACCATCATAAAATAATGGCTGATTCAACAGGTCAAACAAACATAAAAAAGTCAATATAAAACACAAAACAACAAAAAAGTTAACAAGCTGCAATCAAATTAGAATTCAAGGAGAAACTAATCCACAGAGTAGTATGCTTTTTGCAATAGAAAAATCTTGAGTCGCCTTTTAAAGACATTGATATTTTAGGATTTATTCGCTGTATGTTTCAACCAATAACTGCAGTACAACAACATTATTTCATCTATTTTTTTAGGTTTCATATTTTCTATGTCTTTTAAAATATTTGTTCATAACACTTTTTGTTGTTTTGTTTTATGTTCACTGTTTAATAATGAAATTTTTTAGTAATTTTATAAATATAGTTTTGATAACAGTTGAAATTGTTTATAATTAATATAATTTATAATATTTTTATTTTAGGGAGGATTGAAGATGATTATTATTCTGTGCATACTGGGTGGTATCAACATTTTTGAATATGTCAATCAACCAAGGCCTTCTTGGTGGGTGTGGTGTACAGAAAATAAATTATATGCCTGCATGATGTTGTTTTTTCTGAGCAACATAATAGAAGGGCAGCTTATTCAGTCTGGAGCATTCGAAATAACACTGAATGATGTTCCAGTTTGGTCCAAATTAGAAACGGGCCGTATTCCGCAACCTGCAGAATTATTTCAGATTATCGATAGTCATATGCAATTTGGCAATAAGATAGAATTAAATAATTTTGCTAAATAATTTAGCAATCTAGATTTCAATAAATTTCTGTAATAAATGTACATTGTAAAATATAAGACACATTTTAATAAAAGTTTAAGTATATGCGTTTAATTATTTTCAAGAAACTCGAAAGTGTGAAGAATAGTGTTTGTCTTCTTTGACTGACGACTTGTTTATTTTGTGGAAATTCATGTTCACTGAGGATACACTACAAAAACACACTTTTGTCAATTTTCCACGAAATTTCTTTATTGTTGACTAGTTTCGGCTATTACACCATTTTCAAGTTTTCAGTTTTGAAAATGGTGTAATAGCCTGCATGATGAATAATGAATATCAATAAAGAAATATCGTGGAAAATAAACAAAAGTGTGTTTATGTAGTGTATCCTCAGTGAATAGTGTTTGTAATGGCCTTCGGGCTGAAAAACTACCCCACCAACCTATCAGTTGATTTGATAGGTGGAATTGATACTTCTGGCGTGAAATGAATGTAAAAAAATACTTTTCCCACACCAGAACAAAAACACTGTCTCGACCCACATTTTTCTAACCAAGTTAGGGTCATCAGAAGGTAATAAAGACTTCAAGTTTCTATATCTAAGATAGGTCTCAGGTAATTTGGGTTTTCAAATGAGGATATACTTAATATTGTATACCCTTTCTTTTCGTAGAACAAATAATGATATGATATGATATTCAAAATTAGATTAGGTGACATCAATTGTAATGATCTATTCGTGATGTCTCATTCCGGAAACAATGCTCTTTTTACTGTCCCTAATCACCATACTAACTATTGATACTTTTCACCCATGTCAAGGTTTATTTGAGAAGCCAACCGTCTCAATTGTGATACAGAAATTTTCAATGAATATTAAAAAAAAACAAGCGTAGCAATAGATTTCAATAGTTAACCAGATAGGATGTTAATTTTAAGTTCATATTATTTAAATTTTATATATTTACATTGATATATGTCTACATTTATGCATACATTAGGGTTAAGTTAGTTTTAAGGTATTACTGATTGTATTTGTATATTTCTTTTTTCTTCGTACACATTAATAAATAAATGAATTCCTAGTATTTCTGCAATAGATTAATGATACTTTTAAGGGCATAAAACGATAGCATTTTATTTTAGTTCCGTTATTATTTATCTTATACATAAAAAATCATTTGGATAAATGTTCTCTTTGAACATTTGATTGTCTAACCAATCCCTTACAGGCTTAAAAAATGTGGGGGCGTATAACTTTGTTGTAAGACAACTGAATTTTCAAATTCATTTTGATTGTTCGCCACAATTTCTTGAATCAGCGGGTGAATGAGGTTTTGAATAATTTTGAAATATAATTCACCTGTCAGATTCTCCTCTAGATATAAGGGACCAACAATATAATTTCCCAATTTTCCCACCCAGACGTTTATTTTCTCAGGAGTTTGAAAGTGACGTTAAAAAATATGTGACTTTATGTCTGACCAATATTGTACATTATGCCGGTTGACATTTCTGTTTGAGAAAAAGCGCATTCGTCACTAAAACAAATACCTTTTATGCCTAAGAGATACTGTTTTGATGTCTCCTTTCTGTAACGGCGGTTGATAAAAGAATCTAAGATAACGGCCGGAGATAATTCTGTGAAAGCTATTTTAAGGATTTTTGTGGCCATGGTCGGCAGATTTTTATGCCTGACGTTTCGTCTACTACTACGGTAGACGTTATCAAAGGAGATGTAACGATGGCAGTCTCGATTTGTTCCCTTTGTTCAGAACGCAATAATACCTATTACTATTAGTGGGCGTGCCTTGGTTTCTATTAATTGGATTACCTGTTCTTGCCTCTCTATTATACTCTTGGATAGTAATTTTTAGTTTTATCTGTATCTTCGAATGAAATAATGTGATGCTTTTTTTGTTGACATTTTCGGATACAGCTGATTTGTCTGTTTGTCCGAGTCGACAATTTCTCTTGTTTTCAGAGAGACGGGTAGATACACTTCTTTTCTTGGTTCCAATGTAGACCGAACCGCAGCCACAAAGAATCCAGTACACCTCGGGTGTTACTAAAGGAGCTGTGGAGTCCTTAGCTGACCTTAGTTTTTGTTGGCCCAAATGCTGGTTTCAAGTCATGTTTCTATTAGATTCTCCCAATCCTCTCTGTAACATTTTTAACATAGGGAAGGAAAGCTTTTCCCTATACTAGTTTGGCGTTCTTTCTTCTGGGACGCATTGCCCGCTCGAATTCTCTTTCGATGAACCCATTCCCTTTGAAGGCATTTTTTCAGGTGATTTGAGTACCTCAGGAAGACTCATATATTATAATAGGTATATAACTGGTATAACCAGTGATCATTACCTGCCATTTGCCGAGATTTCCTATAAATTAGTTGCATATCCACTTTCTCGTTTCTGTTATGAACATGTAGGGGAAACCCGGGCAACGTGAATACCTTGGGCTTTCCTTGATCATTGTCGTTTAGTTATATAACTGAGGAAATTGAAACAAATATTTATATTGAGTCTTCATTTAATGAACTTACAAAATGTAATAAGATTTGTTTTTAATATTAGCTAAACTATTAGATATAAGGCCAGTTTTCAACAATGGCATGAATATCCACTTTGCCCAGCACCCCGGGTAAAGTGGATTCAGTACCAGGGCAAAGCGAACAACAACATTATTCGTCATGGAACTCAACATTAAAATTGAAAAAACCATCAAAAATTGAAGAAACATATAAAAATTTTTTTTTTTACAATGCTAGTTATTGTAGTTATTACAAACAAAGAAATTGAACTCGTGAAGAAATAAACATTGTAAATTAAAGGAACATATTGAAAAAACATTGTTCTCTGAGATTCATGAGATTCATTCGAAGATGACGCTTGAATGATGGACTCGGGCAAATCAGTTCTTTCCGTTGGGGGCAAAGTTTCTGACTTATTATTCAAATTGAATGTGCCTGCAAGTATATCGGCTGTTGCAAAATGATGATGAAACAAGCATGCTTGTTTAAAGACCAAACTCCGGGACGTTCAAATGCATGCACTGCGTTGATGGCCACGGCAGTTTTGAGAAAAACTGGTGCTAGCAGCTGATGGTTGATGATGCAGCCGGGGTGAGATTTTTGAAACTAATGATCTCCCTTTCAAAATACGTTTTCAGTGGGCTATATATAGCAACATCCATCGTTTGCATTTTGTGGTTAGTATCGGTTGCTAAGGATAATATCACCACATTTTTCTTGGTTGCGTACCCAAGTGCAGGATATTATTTGTGGCTTTCGTGATTGACTAGTATCAACAGGAACTTTTTGTTTGATGTTAGCCTCACTTGCTCTACGAAAAAGTGCATCCAATTCAAGAAGACTTCCCCTGATGTCCAACCATTGGGAGTACACGTTCCTTGAGTCCCTGGCGGACTTCCATCAAGAAGTCTTGGCTCCATCTTCTTTATATCAAAAATTAAAAAAGGTGGAAGAAATTTAAGCTACCAGCTGCATTACAACAGTCAATAACAATTGTGAATATAGGACGGAATCGACCTAATGGAAATGCAATTCTACATTTGACATGTCGATATAATGTAGCCTAAGCTAGCCCGTATTTTTTTACCGTCCTTATAATCGATTCTCCAGCCAAATACAAATTTATAGCGCCCTGCATATTTTCTTTGCTCTAAGATGTGTTGTCTTTATTTTTATACTCCATCTGCAATGGAAAAAAACGCCATAAAGTACATAGTTCCATTAAACTGCATAAATTGTCATGACCGGGCAAAGTGAATACGGTATCCACTTTGCCCAATCCGCTTTGCTCTTCGAGTACATTTTTGAGGTTATTCTAAATTACTAAAAAACTGGAGCATCTAAACTCGTTGTCTACGGATAAATGAAAGCTACATAATCATGCATCAAATTCTGCTCATAACAAAGAGCATGTCGCAAATAATATAGTTATAAACGAAACACTTACATCTGTAAATTAATATTATTTTCCCAAAAACACACTCTGTCTAGTCACTGGCGCAGCGCGATGCGAACTCGTCCTGACTTGTTTACCACGCACGGGCGGCACGGGGCGACAACTAGCGACCGTTGTTATGACAACACGGCGGACGGCCAACGAACTATTTGGGAGTTATAGGCAATATTCGCTTTGCCCGGGGTATTCACTTTACTCGGGTTTCCCCTATAGGTATTATTTTTAACTTATAATTTATGTATTATCAATACTAATAACTGATTATTAATAAGAATAGACTTTACATAGTTTTTGAATTTGAGGGAAGGGACCCCCAGCCTATGACAATTCTTCATAAATTAGAGTTTTACCTGAATTGGTTTTTCAGAACGGCGTAACATATAGATAGTGGTTTCTCAAGTCTCTATATGCAAGAGGTGTAATCAATGGAACTGTTGATAACAACTTAGGATAATCGCCCCGAATATTATATATTTTGTACATTTTTTGAAGACTGGACGAAGATTTTCATTGATTTCAGAAATGTCTGTCTTATGAGCCAACTTAACGAATTTATTTTGAACACTTTCAATCATATGTTGATAGGTAAATTGTATACGGTAACTCCAATAAATGACAGAATCAGCAGAATTCGTGCTCTCATCAAAATGATTCAACAAAAATGTTATAGCTTTCAAGTATATTGCAACAATTAAGATAAAATAAATTAAAATCATGTAGTTACCAAAATTCGATAAAATACACTCAAAACTTATTGGGACATACTCAAAACTTATTTCATGTTCAGATATTGATAATAAGAAAGTAAGCAAAAACCAAAGCAATGTTCATTTTGGATGATATCCTTTAAAAAACTGTAAATAATTTTCGTGGCATCGTTAGTTTATAACGCCTTGTCAACTTGTTTTGTATGTTACAACATTAGTTGTCAGTATTTTAATTCAAGTTCAAAGTTCGGTAACTTCGAGTCTGACAAATGGTTAGTTTAACGGAAATGCATAAAATGATTGGTTAAGGATTTAAAACCCGAACACAACAGGAAGCAGCTCGCCTATTTCATGAGAAATGAGAAAATAAGCAAAATAGAGAAGCAGTTTCGCGAGCTTGGTCATGTGGGGCAGAGAAACTGTGAATCCAATGAGTGATGAACTCAAATTGAATGTGATGCTTGAGTTTGAGGAAAACCCACAAACATCGAGTAGACAGGCATTCACTACGACATTTAATGTTAGTCATACATCGATAGTAAACATATTAAATGATGAACATGTTGGATAACAGTATCATCCAATTAGAAGACGTTATGTTTTCTGATGAGTGTGCTTTGTTTATTAACGGTCATGGTCATGGTAATTGTCGCCACTGGTCAACAGAAAATCCTCACTGGATGAGAGAAGAACACACGCAATACCCTCAAAAGTTTAATGTTTGGGCAGGGATTGTAGGAAACCATATCATTGGTCCCTTTTTCATTGAGGGCAACATGAATTGCGATAATTATTTGGCTCTACCTCAAAATGACGTCATTCTAAGTTTAGCAAATTTATATCCTAATCCAGGAAACCCTCAAGTTCCAGTGGATACGATATGGTTTCTGCAGGATGGAACATCACCACATTACCAAGGTAATATTCGGCAATACCAATCGGTGGATAGGGAGGCCAGTCATTGAAGGTAGGGGTGGCATTTTTACGTTGAAGAATGTCAAGTTATAATTTACATTTGAAGTGTTTGGAGATTTTGTTTAGATGAAAACAATGAGTCACTTATGAATTTTTAATTAGTCGTTCGAATTAACAATAATAAAATAGAACTATTTTGGCAGTGCTTAATCTATGAAACACAGAATCGGATCACAATATCGAAAACATGAAAGGTTTGATTCTAAATATTAGCACCAGTATAAAATCAATTTCAAAATATTAGATACTTTAAGCAGTATTACTTTCAATAATATTTGTTAAATCAACGAGTCAAACATTTAAAAAGCATACATCTGAATTCATATTATATGAAAGCTCGAACAAAGGTACAAACCCAAGTATGAGTGGTCATCATATTTTCATATGGTCACCTATTTGTCCAATTTTATCCAGTAATTTTTCTGTTGCTTGATACGTTTCCTAATATTTATTTCAACAGAATTTTAGGATTTCCGTATTCCTCAAGGAGGTGTTTGACTCTAGAACTTAATTTTTCATAATTATATTTTTCAGAAAATACAAAAATACTAAAATCATATCTCTCCTTAATAGTTATTTGTTGAAAACTGTACACATTTAATTACACATATTCCTGAGCGTCTCATCCAACACGTCAGTGATTTAAAGAATCGTACGATTTTGCCCTGTAAGCATTAGGCCTCCTTCTGCGATAGCCTGTTCGAGTTCTGTAAGGTAAATTTCTATAAATGGGTCCCGGCGGCGACGGACGACTAGACGGTGGCCTATACAATGGTGGTGCTCGGGGATTAGGTCTGTATGGTGCAGGGCGGCGGTTTATTTCACTTGGTACTGTTGGGGGTCGTCTTCTGGAAGACCTTCTTATGCAGACGGAGCAGCGACTGATCTTCTGAGTGAGGAAACCTGCCTTCAATGTTTCTGGTCTCGGTTTTCTGAACATTGCGTAGTCTTCAATAGTTGCTAACCAGTAGGAAACTGCGGTGGTGTAATAATTGCACCTTCCATGCCCTTGGCATTCGATGAATGGCTTAGGTCTGAATTCTTCCAGACAAGAACCAGGAGAAACCAGCGATTGACCAGATCCTTCTGCTCCCGAATCTGTATGCTGTTAACAAAAATAAAGAGGTTATCTCAAAGCAATGCTTTGATTTTGTTTGCTTGAATATTATTTTTTAAAAATGTCAAAAATCATGTTATCATCTTCCTTCAGAGATTTTTGATGAAGGAGTTGAATTATCAAAAATATTTCATATGAAAGTTTCACATCTGAAACTAATAAATGCATTGATATCTCAATGTACTCGACTTTTTTGAAATATTTTCCAATATAACACCTGAGCTGAAAAGTCCAAGGCCTAAGAAAAAAAACTCGTTTTATTTTGTTCAAAACTGGCTTCATTCATCAACGTAACCTCGATCAAGAACCACACAATCATTCTAGCGCCACTCTAACATTTAAGTACCATTTATGTAGAATTATATATCTTTTGCCCTCAAAATAGGTCTAAGTTTCAGCAAAAACCTCTTCATTCGAGCATTTTTTTGAGATGTGCGAACAGTCAGTTGTCGCTGGAAGCAAAATCTGGCGAATATGGTATATGCGGGAGCAAGTCGAAGCCCATTTCGTGCAATTTTGCCATGCTTTTCATTGATTCGTGACACTGTGCATTGTGATGATGAAACATCACTTTTTTCTTCAAATGGGGTCGTTTTTCCACAATTTCGACCTTCAAATGCTCCAATAACGCTATATAATAATTACTGTTGATGTTATTTCCCTTCTCAAGATATTAGATGAGTATTACAACACGCACATCCCAAAATACCGAGGCCATAACCTTTCCAGTGCTTTTGTGTGCTTTGGTTGAAGTTTGCCAGTTGCTCTCCATTGAGATGACGATCTTTTTGATTCCGGAGTGAAGTGAATGGATCCATGTTTCATCTATTGTCACCTCGATGCAAAAATTCCGGTTCGTTATCTTTAAACATGAGCAAACACTGCTCAGAATCATCAAGACGTTTTTGTTTTTGGTCAACAGTGAGCTCGCGCGGCACCCACTTTGAACAGAGCTTTCTCATCTCTGTATCTGTAGAGTCGAGAGGGTGGGTGTAAGCCCACAGCACTTAGGTCACATGAGACCCATTGTACATGCTCCTGAGGAGTTGTCCTCCTAGGTCATCGTTCATCCTGTCCTTTCCAGGAAGGTGGACAGGTCGCTGGGAGACATCTCCTTTATATCGGCAGGTGTAGGCCAAGACTCGCCGAACACACACTCTCTTATTGGCGATAACTTCGGGTACTCGCATAGGACATGCCTGACAGTCTCATCTACCTGTTCACACATCCTGCATAGAGGTGTGTCCACTAGCCCCATATTATGGAGGTGTTTCCTTAGCTGACAGTGGCCAGGCAGAAATCCTACTCTTAAGCATAGACTTTTCCTGGTCATCGCCAGATATTTCTTCGGCGCCAGCTTCCCAGGGTGTCCCAGGGTGATCCTGGCAAGATTGCATCCTTTGATTCCATCCCATCTCTTTAGAGATTGAGCATAGGTGTGGCGTTTGGCTAGTTCCGCAATTGCCGAAGTCATCAGGCCGTAGGTGTCACTCGGTCCTAAAATTCTTAGTCCAGCAACTTCCTTGGCTAAAGAGTCGGCAATGCAGTTACCTTTTCTCCTTTCGTGCCCTTCAACCCACCTCAGGATAATGTTTTATCTACCGAGGACTTGACTAAATCTTGGTGGCACTCTAGTACTAACCCTGAGGTAACACGTTGTCTGTTCAAGGCAATAGGGCTTGTTATGTTTTTGCAAGAAATTCCTTTCTTAGTTATTTCTTTTGTGGCGATTGAAATACCAGCCGGTTCTGTTTGAATCACGTTGGTATTTTTTCCCATTCCCTACTCAATCCTTAGGCTTAGTGATCTGGAGTACACTCCACATCCTGAGCCTTCTTTAGTTTTTGAGCCATCTGTATATATGCGTATTGCATTTGTAGCATCTGACTCTGTGTTCTGTTTCATTTGTATTTTGTAGGGTTTATTAAACACAAACCTGGGTTCAATTGCATCACTGGTTGCCTGCAGCAGAGGTTGCGCAGTAAGTGCTTCTCGCCATAGGCTCAGCCTCAATTGATCCATTCCTACTTCGAGGTTCACACCAGCCGTGCACAATCGTAATATGGCCATTAACGCAACCTCCTTGATGTACAGAGGTATAGAGGGGTCAGACCAGTAATTAATTCCATTTCCGCGGTTGGTGTTGTTGACATGACTCCTGTGATGTTTAAACAAGCCAGTCGCTGTATTTGAAATAATTTTTGGATGCCCATTGCTTGTAGAACTTTCGGTCCCCATGCAATGGCTCCGTACGTAACCATAGGTCTTATTATTGCAGTGTAGATCCAGGTAAACACACGGGGTGAAAGACCCCATGCGCGTTCCACTGTCCTCCGACATTGTTCATAAGCCACATATGCTCTTTTTGTTCTACTATGTAGATGAGAGTTCCATGTTAGCTTCCTGTCGAGGATAGTACCAAAGTATTTCACCTCTTCAGAGAAGTTTAATTGGCTTTTGAAAATTTCGGGAGGTTTTAAGCCCGATAAACTTCTTTTCCTGGTGAGAAGGACCATCAAAGTCTTCTTGGGATTGATCGACACTGAGTGTTCTTTACACCATGCTCTATCGCACAGTGTATTCACAAATTTGCCGGTCTGCAAGATAACTATGTCATCTGCAAATGCAATGTGTGATTAATCAGATTACCCTGATTAATCACCTCAAATGCATAGTCAAATGTTCATGCAATATGAAGCCAACACGTTTTTTTGATATCTTTACAATGTCAGCTAACCCACGCAACTTCAATTTTCGATCATTCAAAATGATTTTGTGGATTTTTTATGTTCTCTGGTGTTACTGCCTCATTTGGACTGCGTTCTGCATCATCGGTGTTTCTACGAGCACGTTTGAAGTCAGCAAACCAACGTTTAAATGTTGTTTCCGATGGAACGGAGTTCTTGTGACACTGTTCAAGCCATCGCTTCGCTTGAACGGTATTTTTCCCATCAAGAAGCAGCGTAAAATTAAAACTCGAAATTGTTTTTGATCCATTGTTTTGAAAATAACAAAAGTAGTGTCACAATAACCCAAAAACTTATGAGTAGAATATCATGAATCTTCAGCAGCTTTGTTTCGAAGGTTAGTACTAAATGAAAAACGGTGATGGTACTTAGATTAGCGCCGCATGTATGTGTTAGGCCCGAGCCTTTTCAGGCCTAATATATCTGCCAAAAACTTTCCAACAATGAAAAAAATTATTCATTCGAAATCTCCTGAGATGAAATTGTGCTCGAAATATTTTTTTTTTGTGTTTTCATGTTGTAATTCGAACAAATCCATATTTTTAAAGAGGTTTCCATGGGGAAATCGGAGATAAAATGAAATATATAGTGCTCTCTTTTGAACAATAAAAAAATATATCATTTTCGAGTTTTGTTTTCAAATTACCACCATAACGGCTTTTTGACACTATTTTTGTAATAAGTTCAGAACCGCTCGGCATATACCTACCTACATACAATCTTATATTTTCCAAAGTACTTTTCTGACGTGATTCAGATGAGGAAGGCAATATTTGCATTTCTTTTAAAAAAACTAACTTTATCAATAAAGGGACAAACCGCAAGATAAATGAAGATAACCTCAAAATCCTACATATATGTAATAAAGGAAGAAAAATGAATCTGTTGGAGGCCATGGAAATTAACAAATCAATTAAAAACCAGCAACATATGCCCCTAAACGAGCAACTAGATTTATGTATGTCTCCTCTCTTGAATTTATGAGTTTAACAACTCCTAGAATTTTCAGGGTGGTATTTTAAGTTGGCATCCTGTCTCTCAAATACCTGTCCTGGCAGCATACCTGAAAATTTTATTTAAACCGATGTTTCAAAATTCAGATTTCAGTTTTATACTTGATAATGGGGTCAAACCCGAAATCGGTCGTATAAATAAAATTTACCAGTGGTATTTAGACAAAAGTGTTTTTATTCATTTCATTTTAGGGACCGGTACATACCCATTTAATTGCACATTTTTAGACGTGCCTTACTGACGGCATCCAAATATGGAAGACAGTATATCTCATTTCATTAAAAAAAAACTACATTTATACGCCACGCTTCTACTAAGCATCCTGTATATTAGATAATATTTCAAAAAACTCAATGCATGACATATTTAGATCTTTCTATGAAATATTTTTTGATACTCCTTCCTTCGTGATGGAAGCTCGATGTGATAGGTTGTCACTGATAACTATTCACCAAGAAGTGATAAGTGTGACATGAATTGATCAGCCAAAGATTCTATAAAGATTAAAATAATTTTTCAGCTATTTCTATCATGACTTTCAAAGAAGAAATCATGAAAGTTTCACTTCCAATGAACAATAGAAATAATTAAATCAACAAATGAATTCGGTCCATATTAGTATTGATTTTTGGGGTAGTATACGAACTGATTCTAATAATTTCTTTTTTTAAGGACAAAACACAAACACTACAGGAAAATCCTTGAGGCGCTCTTAGAGCGGTGCCTGTGCGAAAGTTGTGATTCACATTGGATTTGATTCGCTGGAGATGTTGAACCCCAAAACGATGAGCAGCCACAGTCCGTCGCATATTTTTGATATGTACTGCTCTTGGTGGAATCAAATGTACTTCCCGTGGAAGTACCTATAGAAGAGAGACAAATCTCCAACCTTTCTTCGATGCAACCATTAAGGTTGCAAGTGATGTTCGCGTCTACAATCAGGCGTATGCCTCTTTTCTGGATGGAATCCAACAGCTTCAGGATATGTTTAGGGGCAGAGCTCCATAACAATACTTCAAAGAAGGTTTGATATGAGCTTTATAAAGCATCAAAAGTTGCTGGGATGTGTTGGTTCGGTAAAGTGTTCCAAGACGTTGATACAATGAAAAGAGGGTAGGAAACAATATGGATCCCTGGGGAACACCAGCGTTGATGGTGAAAGTATTCGAAATATATCCATCGACGACCACTTGGTAGGAAATGTTCATTCAAGGAGCTGGAGAGCCATACGCAAAAAATGATGCGTCAAGCTAACCCTTATGCCACACACGGTCAAATACCTTGGAAATATCAAGCGCAACAGCTATTGATTCTCCATGTTGCTCGATTGCGTTTTTCCAAATATGGGTGACATACCTGCTGATTTTTGTTTCCGAAGGCCAAAATGTTAAAGCCTTTCAAATATTAAAGGACATGGTGGTTTACGGCTTTCTCCATGATTTTGATATAACTGATAGCAAAGCGACTGGTATATTTTTAAATTTTTCACTGAAGACATTCAGTGAAAACTAAATGAAATGAAAATGAAAGCAAATTTGAAGTAGTGTAGATTTTTAAATTTACCATGAGGAAACTGTATCCAACCCAAAGTTCTTCCCATCCATTTGGACACTCTGGAATTGTTATTGTCTGGCTATGAATTGCAATAACTCTGGTCGGGGCTTCGCAAACAGAACACCTAGAAATAGATATTTCATATCAATCTATAATATTTATACCAAGAAATCGAATAATATACAGGGTGTCCCTGGACTTCCTTTTTTCCTCTTGAGAATGTATAGATGGGGTCAAAATATCACCAGTACTTCATATAACTTTTTTTCCTAAAAGTCTTCGTAACCAAGTTACGGGCCCTCGAAGTTACAAAATGAAAAATGTTTTTCTTTGATAACTTTTCAAGTGAATATTCAAAATCATCCAAATTTTGGTAATTGACT